TCTGAAAGGGCCCCAGTCGAAGCAACCCCTCCATGCTTATGCAGGGGCTATACGGCGAAATTTGCGAAACTCAGGTGGGCCCCCGAATCCAGCAACTTCTGAACGACAGTGGTGCCATTGACAATCCTGAAAGAGTCATCGACCTTAAACTTGACTGCGTTTTTGCACACCTGCCCTATTACCCGAGAGACACAGACGCGGCAGAGGGCACGGGGGAACAGTCCCAAGTCGTCAACATATCGTCCAGCGGCAAGGCGTCCTCTTCTTCTCGGGTGACCTGCATGGCGGGAGGTCTCAGCACGGCTTAGGGCGATCTCCAGAATGCACCCCAATTGGGACGCCATTGATGTGTTCCAAGCAAAAATCGCCGATGCGACACAGCCGCGCCCCAAGACATCCAGGAAGACATCTGCGCCAGGATTTGAAACTGAAAATGCACCTGCCTGCGCGCGACAACGCGTGCCTTTTCGATCTCATGCGAGTCGAGGTCTTCGCACGCATGGCCCGCAACGACGACGACGACGGCGAGATGAACCATTGCAGTACCACACGCGACGCAGCAGCAAACGCCAGCACGAGGGTCACGCGCAGGAGGGTCAAGAGCTTCGACTCGCTGGCGCAGGATGTCGAAAGCCTGGCTCGCGCCCCGCAGGGCCCGCCCCAGCGCGCCGCATCGCACGACGCGCTGCGGTCCTCGACCGACCCGGCGAAAATGGCGCCGACCAGGTAGCCTGTAGAAGAAGCGCATGTTCCGACAACATGAATGCGCCTTTTCGGTGCACCTGCGCATGCCTTCGGGGGCCCAGCATACTAGTTCTACCGCCGGGTAAAAGTAGGGCTGGTGCTCGACACGAAACGCAAAATTTCCCCAGAGAAACTTCCGAGGCAAGGACCAATCCAGCAACAGCGTCCGAAATAAGGGGCCCGTTGAACTTCCAACGACGGGGAACGCGGCTATTAAGGCATACCCATCTGACTACCAGATAGAAACTGCACATGACCCACATCGCGCCAGGATCCCCGCCCTTGGCAGCGACGCAGGCTGCGAGGCCCGCGCCCGCGAAAGCCCGCACAGCATCTGCCGCGCGCGTCGCGCAAAACTGGCGGACGAAGATTGGCTGGCGTGGGAAACTGGGCCCAAACCACGGAGCGGAGCAAGTCGCGCTCGAGGCAGCCCGCGCTGTCTATGCCACATCCCACAAGAGTCCAAAGCTGCTTCGCGAGCTCCAGCGGGAAGACGCTCGCGAGGTGCACGACCGCTGCGCGGGGGCCTAGCGAGATCGTGAGCTTGCACCACTTTCCCCGAGATTCCGGGGCCCAGGTTCACGAAATCCTCGAACCGAAAATTGTTCAAGCACATGGTGGTGTTCATCACGCCCCGCTTCATGGGGCTGGGTGTTTTTTGAATCATCTCGGTACATCTCCGAACCAGGGACACCCAGTGGGGCATTTCAGCCCCTTCTTGGCGAAGGACATGCTGGAGCCACCGTCGCACCGGGCGGCCCCGGGCCACCGACGGAACCAAGAGGAAACACTTCTGCGGCAAGAGGCGCCCGCAAAGCGCAGCGGCTTGCTCGGCGCAAGCCCGGGCACATAAACGATCGCGATAGCGCGGGAGGAGACCGCGCGCTGACCGCGCGATGAACCAGAAATCTGATGGGCGAGAACGCTGGTTGGCAGCTCGGTCTCATTCAACTTCACGCGGTCTTATCGCAACGTAGTTCAATACTAACGGCAAAAAAAAATAGCATGCGCATCGATGGGCACGAGCGGCCCCTGCGCTTGAAATTCACGACGCTGAAATTCGCGATGCGGTTTAGGAGGATACCGGAGGAGGGCCTGCAAGTCACTGCGGCTCTGAAGGAGAGCCTGTCGCGACAGATGTCGCTGGCTAAGTCGCTCGCGAGTGCCACTCATCTTCGTGATCCTGGAAAATACGCAGGGACCGACTAGACGAGCTCGCACGCCGACCATTGCATCTCCATCGAGGCCGTTTTCGGGCGTCATGGGGTCCGCGAAGTAGAACACTTGGCATATTGTTTGCTCCAGGTCGGCGTAAGCTTGTATAAGCTGATTCCCGAGAATATGTATCCAATACCAATGATATCCAGGATCAAAGCCGAAACAACTCACGCCGCCGTCTCTTTGCGAGAGCGCGCGATACCTTCTACACTGCGGGCTGTTGGCGATGGCCTTCCCAACGGCTGCCTGCGCCCGCGCTCGAAGGCGTTCGCGGAGCCTGCGCGGGAAACCAGACATCTCGCCACGCGCTCGCTGCTGCGAAGCTTGTCCTACGCATCGACGGCGGAGGCCAGGCTGGTAAATATATGCACGGCCACCGCCTGCATTCCGAGAATATCCGAGAACTCCTGCGATCTGAATCCTGAACACCTCGACTAGGTCTAACGCGTTGATGAGATCTGCGGGGCCCTTTCGTATCAAAGCCTTCTGCAAGCCTATGGGGAGAGCTCGCACGGCCCCAAGACACCAACAGGGTTGCCTCCGACCGCCCAATAGACCACAACGCATCCTACACAAAGTGTTGCCGATCGCCACGGCCGACACGACATCCCAGCCAAACTGCGCGAGGTGAAGGAAGGTCTGACGGATTAGTAGGAGGTCGCGCTGTAAGAGGTCAAGGGACTTGAGGAAGACGGGACGAGGTGCGTCAACTAGCAGCTGCCAGAGAATGTTCGACCACAAATTCGTAATGACCTGCCAAGCTCTCGAGGCTCACTTCAAAAGAAGAGGTGTGGCGGCAAACATAAACCTCCCCCTAGACCTCCTATTCGGTCTAACTCCTGACGCAATAGGCCGTCCGCAGCTCGACTCTGCGCGGGTAGGCGAATGCGTTTACATCGTTCGAGCCATCGCTATAGTTCAGCACCGCGGTGGCCTTGCAAGGTTGAGGGGGGGGAAAAATGACAGACTTGTAGCGGGAGTGGTTGGGGGTATAAGACGTAGATGTGGAAGTATGAAGAGAGTCTGTGGTACACTAGCCGTATGGACCAGCTCCACTCAGACTCAAGCACACGATGGTGAAGAGCAAACAAGTGTAAAGAAAGAGCACTGCCAGCGGCGTCTCGGCCCCGACGACCCTGGATTCCTCTTCCACCTGCCGACTAACTGCATAGAACAATCAGTGAAACAGCCACGCCATGGCCAGAAGTGTAAAACCACAAAGTGCGCACTACGATCATCGAAAGCAGTTTGAACGTCTACCTGAACAGTCTGGAAGCATGGCTAGGCCAAGAAAACAGCAATGGACGGAAGGAGATCAAACAAGCACCCCTACTTCCTGTCTAAACCTGTTCCGCTGTCCCTGCTCAGGGCACTCCTAGCTTTAAAATGTTGCGGTGGCATATCTACGTGTATGCACACAGCTATTGCCACGATGTCTGTCAGAACGTAAAGAAACTAAAACATAAACGCACGCACGCACACACACACACACACACACACACACTCAGCTCAACGCGCTGATCGCGACGCCAAAATGAACATCGGTGACGAAGAGACACCCAACCGAGAGCAACGCCTGGCGCCCGAACCCAGCAGCGCCCGGCAGCTCCCCCCTCCTCCCCTCTCCTGAAGACAGCACGATCCCCCCCCACCCCCAGCCAGGACCCTCGCTCCCGACCTGGTAATCCAGGGGGTCCTGGCTGCGGGCGGGGGTGGCTTTCTGGAGCTCTTGGGGGTCAAAACGCCGCCCTCCCCAGCCAGGATACCGTGGCTGACCAGGTCTGGGGTAGGGGCCCTGACTGGGGATCGGGCTGGGTTGTGCTGTCCGCGTTTCCCAGTCTTGCAAGCCCGCCAACCCGACGACCCCGCTGTCTGCGCAGGCCACCCCACTCCGCCATCTGCGCCGCGCACCGCACAGGGCGCGACTTCCTCTCCGCGCCCTCGCTCTTGCCCCTGGAGCAGGGCTCCCCCCTGGCCCAGACCACGAAGCACGGAGCGCGGAACTCTTCTGCGCCCCTCCTGGCGACCTGGCCTCCTCCATCCTCCCCGTCCTTACCCCCTGGGGCCGTGCCGAAGAGGAGGGCAACCCCAGAGGGGTCCCCACCTCCCCGAGTGAGCACCATTTCCTCGAGGAAGTGGGCCCCCACCGCACACTGTGGAGCCCCCAAGACCATCCCAAACGCGCAAACTTCCCCTCGAGCCTAGATTTCCACGAGGAACTGGCGACCCCCCCAACAGGCCTCCTAAACAGCAAAAGATCGCTCCAAGACGCCCAAGATGGCCACAAGACTGCCCAAGAGGCCCGAGCTGTGACCCACTTTGGCACTGCCCTTGCCCCCTCCCCCTTCCCCAGCGTCCAATGCGTGCGGGCCCCTGGATCTCAAGACCCCATCTCGGGGACTGGCCCCGGCCGGGGATCGGCCCCAGCCCCGGCCCCGGTACCCGCCCTGGCCCCAGCCCTGGCCCCAGCCCCAGCCCCGGCCCCAGTCCCAGTTCCTGGTTCCTGGCCCCTGGCTCCAGTACCCGGCCCCGGCCGCGGCCGCGGCCCCAGCCCCAGCCCCCCCCCCAATCCCCGCTTCCCTGGTGGAGCTGCCCTGGCAAACCCCTTCAGCAGAGCTGAAGCTCAGGCTGCAGTCTTAATAAAAAACCCACGCCGGATCGGCAGGGTTGTGGGACAAGGACCATGTGAGCCGCAGACAAGCTCTTCATCCCTGGCCACTCTCTGATGGCTCCAAGGCTCTCTCGGCCCCCGCCGCTCCCCTCCCCGGCCTCTCCCGTGGACGGGGGTGCAGAAGGGGGGGAAGGCCCCCCTGCGGACGAGGGGACCTCAAGAACCCTCCCTCGCCCCCCCCTCCCTAGTGGATAAGGGGACCAGGGGACCACCCCCTCCATGGGGGTCGCCAGCGGGGGTCCCAGGGCAGGTCCCGCCTGCAGGGCTTGCGGCACCGGGCCGCCAGGCCCGTGCCCGCCCTGCTCGCCTCCCGGCGGGCCCCCCGACACGAGGGAGCGCAAATGAAAGAGGGAGGTGGGCGGAGCGCCTGGTTTGAGGGGCAGTATGCCGTAAGCTTTCACAGCTTCGCACTCGGGGGGCGCGTGACGACCACGACGGCGACGATGAAAGCGGCGAGAAGCGGCGACACCGACGATGGCGACGAAGACGGCGGCGGACGACGGCGGCGGACGACGGCGGACGGCACGGCAGCGGAAGGCGACGACGACGACGACGACGACGACGACGACGACGACGACGACGAGCAACCAGAGAACCGGCGAAAACGATGAGTGAAAACGGCGACGGCGGCGGCGACAAAGGCGGACGACGGCGGACGACGAGGACGCCGACCCTGCAACGGCGACCGCCGCCGCCGAGAAATGCATCGCCTCTCCTACAAGAGGAAGCGGCACAGATATACACTTCTTTGCACCCCAACGCACATAGAATGCAAACCTTCAAAAGTCCGCGCAGATTGCTCAGGGGTCAGCGCCGGACCACCCTCCCCTTCTCATTCGGCTAGGTTTGTCGCCATGGCGGGCCTGTCAAAACATACACACGCACACACACACACACACACACACACACACACGCCACCTGCCTGGATAAATATCCAAACACGAGTGGGAACGTCTGAGGCTGAAACCTCTGATACGAGTGTCGGCGTTGCACCTCGCACTGCCCCAGCCACCACCCCCCGCTACCTGGTTTCCTCTGGGGCCGTAAGCGACCCGATGAGGAGGAGGAGGAGGAGGAGGAGGAGGAGGAGGAGGAGGTGAAGAAAGGGGAGGGGGAGGAGGAGGAGGAGGAGGAGGAGGAGGAGGAGGAGGAGGAGGAGGAGGAGGAGAAGGAGGAGGAAGGAGGAGGAGAAGGAGGAGGGAGGAGGAGGAGGAGGAGGAGGAGGAGGAGGAGGAGGAGGAGGAGGAGGAGGAGGAGGACGACGACGAAACCCTCCGCCCCCTGCCCCTCTCCACCACCCCTTGCCTGGCGCCTCCGGCGTCGCGCCTGGCGCGCCCTGCGCGCCGGGGAGCGCTGGGGCCGCTTCCTTTCCTAGCGCGCCCCTTCCCTGGCGCGTCCGCCACTTGGCGCGCGGAGCGCGCGCGGGTGGGGCCGGACGCGCCAGGGCAGGGGCGGCAGGGAAGGGAGTCCAGCACCGATTCGAGCACGCCGCGCGGGCCCTGGGAACACTCTGCGCGTGCCCCTGCTGCCGCTCCAGAGAATGTGCCGCAGTCCCCCCGGTGGAGCGGCGGGAAGTTTGAGAAAAGAGAGGGAGGGAGAGGAGAAAAAGCCTGATCCTCGAGCGGGACCTCCCGCCACGAGTTCCAAGGAGCAAAGCCATCGGTCGGGCCGCGGCTAGACAAGACGACGAGGAGGAGAGAGAAAGAGGGAGAGGAGGAGGAGGAGGAAGAGGAGGAAGAAGAGGAGGAGAGGGAGGAAGATGAGGAGGAAGCGGGGAAAAGGGAGGAGGAGCAGAAAGGGCAGGAGGACCAATATGAGACAGGGGAAAAAAGAGGACGAGTAGGAGGAAGAGACGGAAGAGGACGACGAGGAGGAATAGGGAAGGCAAATGTGACGAGGTCGATGAGGGAAGGGGGAATTCCACAGAAGACAACAAGTCTCGCACCTAACTCACGAATTTTGATAAACGAGTGCGCGCGCATTGTAGCTTTTGCAGAAGATGGCGGGGGGGGGGGGGGGGGCGATACCGGCCCCCCCCTGGAATAGTGTAATTTCATATGTGGGATGGACGATGGGGCAAAATCATATGCAAATTGCAATACGCAAAGGGGGGTCTTTAACCCCAGGGGGGGAGGGTGGTAGAACCTGTTTTCATTGTAGAAAGGAGAATGTACGTTCTGCTGTATATGTGGTGCAATATGTGTGGAGCATACCGTGTGGTGATCTGTAGTGCAAACTATGGTGTGCAATCCATGTTGTGCAACGTGTGTTGTGCAAGCTACGTGGCTCATACACGGTGTACAATCTACGTTGTGCAAACAATGATGTGCCCTAGATGTTGTGTCATCCATGTGGTGCAATCTATGTTATGCAGACTAAGTGGTGCAATCTATGGAGAGCAACTTTGACTGTCTTGAAGCTGTCCCCTTCACTACTCGTGCAAACATCCCACACTCCCACCCGCAACTTGGTCGCAAGACCTCTTCAGACCGTGACGGTAGGAACCAAATGGCACTTGGCAACGACACTGACGCAGACGACGACAGCGACAACGACGACGACGACGCCGACGACGACTACGACGACACCGACGACGACTCCGACGACTTCGACGACGACGCCAACGACGACGACGGCGACGACACCGACGACGACGACGACGACGCCAACGAAGACGACGACGACACCGACGATGACAACGCCGACGACGACGACGACGACGCCGACGACGACGACAACGACGACGCCGGCAACGACGACGACGACGACGACGACGACGCCGACGACGACGACGACGACGACGAAGACGACGACGACGACGACGACGTCGCCAACGAAGACGACGACGACGAGGGAGGAGGGATGACGACGACGGCGACAACGACGACAACGACGAGGGAAGAGGGAGGACGGCGACGACGCGAACGACGAAGAAGGAGGGAGGACGGCGACGCCGACGACGACAACGACAAGGGAGGAGGGAAGACGACGCCGACGACAACGACGACGGCGACGAAATCGGAGGGACGAAGACGAGACGCCGACGACGGACGACGACGACAACGACGACAACGAGGGAGGAGGAAGGACGACCACGGCGGCAACGACGACGGAAACAACGACGACGCCACAGAGGACGACGACGACGACGACGACGAGGAAAGACAGAGGACGACAACGGCGGCGGCGACGACGACGACGACGACGACGACGAGGAAGGAGGGAGGACGGCGACGACGCCGACGACGACGACGCAAGAACGCGCGCGCACGCTTTTGTTGAAAATTCGTGTTGCGAGACATTGTGCTTTTGTATGTTTTTTGGGACACTCGATTGAGAAATTCTTCCGAAACCGAAGGTTTTTGAAGGATTTCGGCCTTTCGGCCTGAGCGCGCGACGACGTGCGCGCGTGCAATTCCTCCCCTTTCAAAACATTATCGCGACGGCACGCGCGCCAGGGCGTTCGAACGATTTCGACATGCGCGCGCGAAGCCCGTTTCGTAGTGCTTTCTGAAAATATTGAAAAAACCGTGGTTTTCTTCAGATTTCGCAAGAGCGCGCGCGTAAGCTTTTTCAGAAGATCCGTGCTGCGAAACCCTGTGTGTTTGCATTTGTGTTGGAAAATCAATGTTGAAATCCTTCCAAAACCGATGGTTTTTGAAGGATTTCGGCATGCGCGCGCGACGACGCGCGCGTGTGCACCTCGTCCTAATTTTTTTGCAAGGGATTATTGAAAACTTATGATGTTTAATAGACGAGTGTGTGTGCGTATGGTATGGTTTGCAGACGATGGCGGGGGGAGGTGATTCCAGCCCCCCTGGGATGGTGTAAATTCATATCTAGGATGAACGATGGGGTGAAATCATATGCAAATTGCACTGCGATAAATGAAAACATCTAACCCTGGAGGGGGAGAGGGTGGCAGAACCTATTTACCTAACAGCGAAGACTGATAGGTTTCTAGTAGGGTCAATAGAGAGCATCATGACTCCCCAGGGGGGTCTGGGCGGGATCGGGACGGGTGCCGGACAGGATCCGGGGACTCCTTTTTTAGCCAAATGTAACGCACTTCGTGGTCTTCCAGTTCCCTGAACTCTATTCCTGGGCATGATTTTGAATGCCCGGAGCCAACTGTAAGCCACTTCGTGTTCTTCGGATTCCCAGAAATCCATTCCTGGGCATGATTTTGAATGCCCGGAGCCAACTGTAGGCCACTTCGTGGTCTTCGAGTTCCCAGAACTCCATTCCTGGGCATGATTTTGAATGCCCAGAGCCAACTGTAGGCCACTTCGTGGTCTTCGAGTTCCCAGAAATCCATTCCTGGGCATGATTTTGAATGCCCGGAGCCAACTGTAGGCCACTTCGTCTTCTTCGAGTTCCCAGAACTCCATTCCCGGGCCACATTTTGAATGCTGAGGCAGCTGAGGCTGAGGCTGAGGCAGGCTGAGGCTGAGGCAGGCTGAGGCTGAGGCCGAGGCTGAAGGCAGACTGAGGCTGAGGCTGAAGCAGGCTGAGGCTGAGGCCTGAGGCTGAGGCTGAGGCAGGCTGATGCTGAGGCTGAGGCTGAGGCTGAGGCTGAGGCTGAGGCAGGCTGAGGCTGAGGCCGAGGCTGAAGGCAGACTGAGGCTGAGGCTGAAGCTGAGCTGAGGCTGAGGGCTGAGGCTGAGGCTGAGGCTGAGGCTGAGGCTGAGGCTGAGGCTGAGGCTGAGGCTGAGGCTGAGGCTGAGGCTGAGAGGCTGAGGCTGAGGCTGAGGCTGAGGCTGAGGCTGAGGCTGAGGCAGGCTGAGGAGGCTGAGGCTGAGGCTGAGGCTGAAGGCTGAGGCTGAGGCTGAGGCTGAGGCTGAGGCGAGGCTGAGGCTGAGGCTGAGGCTGAAGCAGGCTGAGGCTGAGGCTGAGGCAGGCTGAGGCTGAGGCTGAGGCAGGCTGATGCTGAGGCAGGCTGAGGCTGAGGCTGAGGCTGATGCAGGCTGAGGCTGAGGCAGGCTGAGGCTGAGGCCGAGGCTGAAGGCTGAGGCTGAGGCTGAGGCTGAGCAGGCTGAGGCTGAGGCTGAGGCCGAGGCTGAAGGCAGACTGATGCTGAGGCTGAGGCAGGCTGAGGCTGAGGCTGAGGCAGGCTGAGGCTGAGGCTGTGACTGCGCCTGCTGTTGCCACTGCGACTGTCATCGCGAATGCGACTACGACTGCGAGAACAGCAGAATTCTACAACTGGATTATCATCTGAATCCTAAGGGGAATGCTTCCGGATATGCTCCTACACATCGCTGTTACGTTGCTTTGCCGGGATAATTCTTTTTTAGAAAGAAAAACATATGTGTAGCAACCTATGTGGCGGCAACGAGGCGGCGACGAGGCGGCGACGGGGCGGCGACGGCGGCAACATAGCCGCCAGTCCGACACACATGACTAGACG